GACTGGATTTGAGGAGGGCTGGCAGGAGCTGGTGGCCAGATGGTGGTGTCTTTCACAGAGCCATTGACATTAGAGAAGGCAAACTTTTGCAAGTTGTTAGTGTAAATTTAGATTTGTGCACATTGCGTGTCAAATGTGGGACCACAAGATGAAATTGTCTGACAGACAACTTGATACTCAAGACCATCACAAAGGAGAGAAATTGAGCTGCAGATATGTACGGCTTGGTGTCATTAGAGGATGACAACAAAACATGGTGATTAAATTTAAGAATGCCTGTGTTTGCATCTAAGATCTAATGATTACTGCATCTGCTACTTGGTGTAGCATTCTGAAGCCCTCTGTGTCTGTTTCATAATCTAAATGAAAAAGACAATGATAATATTCTCCAGTAATTGCTTAATACTGCTGTGATCATTTAGAGAGATGTAATGCTCCATTTTGTAAATTACGTATGGCTGGTCAAATGTGAGTTATCCCCTTTGCAAAAGGAGAAGCATTCTGTTATAATCTGCTTGAGTATGCATGTGAACTCTATTGAGATAATTTCATATGTCTCTGTTCCTGTCAGAAATAGATGTAAAAAATGAATACAAATGTTATGCATTGATGTATACTCTAAAAGAAATAACATCCCCAGCCAGCCACACAGCCCACTACATTTTAATGCCTCTACCTCTGGTCTACTCCTTCCTGGACACACCCCCGTTATCACCACCCTACATACATTCCCCTACCGTCAGATGGATGGGTTTTATGGGTTTTATGATCAATTTCCTCATCACTCCACTGTTACATCACCTCTAGTACACTGAAAACTCTTTTTTTGGTCATCAGGATTCCCAGAAAACCAGTACAACCTGGGAGAGGGCCCAGAGCCAACACACTGTCCATTGGGGGTAAGTGGGTGGAGGGGTGTTGATTTCAAAGGTCTCATTGAGAGAGTAGTGCTTGGTTTGACAGGGAAAACAAAAAGAAAGCTAACTGACTTGTCACGCTAAGAAGCCAATTACCAGTAAGCCCCTGGACTTTCATCCTCCAGTCGTTCCATACATAGAGGGTGGGAGTTAAAGACACTGTTTATCTAACATCACATCCCTGAAAGGAAAGATCTGCTCTTCCAGAGAATTTTGCCTTCTCTCAAGAATCTTGCCACATCCATTCACCATTTCCTAGGCAAAGTTTAAAAGAGGATCCAGCTTCTCCAGCAGATCAGGAGGGCCTTACTCTGGAAAGTCTAACACCTATCTTCTCCCAAGGCAGTACTTCATACCATAGTGAGACGAACTGAGGCACCATTCAGCACCAAGACAAAGTGGAAGTGATGGGGGGGGGCAGAAGAAGAAAGAGGAAAAGGAGGAGGAACGGAGAGGAGGAGGAGGAAGAGAAAGGAAAAAGAAAGAAATGAAAGACAAAGAAAGAGAAATAAGGAAAGAAAGAAAGACAAAGAAAAGGAAGGAATGAAGGATGAAAGGAAGAAAGAAGAGGAGGAGGTGAGGGGAGGGAATGAGAGGAGAAGGGAGAAAGACCAGTTGAGGGTGCAGGTAGTGTTTTCATAAGACCATGCACACATGTGTTCCTTATTTCTAACCATGAAAGTGGCTTCCTAAGTGAGAAATTGTGGGTTTCTCATGTCCTGTCTCTAGTGTCATGGCTGTCACTTAAAACCCTTTGTGTAGAATATTTGGTCTTTTGCTGGTTGGGGAAATAGGATTTTGAGACTTTGCGTGGCACTCAGGAGCTAATTGGTACTGAATCAGTGTCAGCAATCATTGTTTTCTTAGCTTCATGCCACACAATTCACAATCTCCTCCTGAAAGGGTAAAATAATTTAAGAGCCCCCAAGGCTCCTGTTCCCTAGATATTCCACTGCACAGATATCTAGGTATTGCTGTGTGGGGACAACCTGTAAACACACTACTGTGTGTTACTGACCACCTGAGCTGCAGGGCCCTCCTCCTTTAAGATCCAGAGAGTATCCTGGATCATGTGACTTGGCCACTGAAGAAGGCCATAGAAAAAGGAGGAGGAGGAGTATGGGAAGCCCATAGGAGCAAAGACCACCCTCAGTTAACAGGCGGCGGAGGAACAGGGGCCTTCTACATCTGCAAGAAACCAAATTCCCTCAACAATCTGAATGAGCTTGGAACTGGGTTCTTTCTCAGGCCTTGAGTTTGAAGTCTTGTATGAACCCCAAAAATGGGATACAGCTAACCCCACCTGTACTCCTGACAGATGGGAACTATGAGATAGTAAATGTCTGTCATTTAAAACCATAATATTTGTGGTAAATTGATATGGCTGTCATTATGGTTTGTATCTAGATGTCTCCCCAAAGCCTCCTGTGGTCATAGGAGGGGTCTTTTGGAGGTGGCTGGATCTAGGGATCAAAGATGTGATGCTGGGATTGTTTCCTGGTGTGATGCTAGGATTAAGGTATCTGGGTGTGAGTGCTACCAGCCCTAAGGGTTGGTACAGTGGGTAGGATATAAGGGACAGAAAGAAGTTTGTCACTTATCACTTGCTGCATGCTGCCTTTGCTACCTTCTGCCTGACCTGAACTATCTGTCTTCTGTGATGCCCCTCTACCATGTCACTCTGCCTTGCAACCAGCCGATTATGGACTGAAACTTCTACGAACTGTGATTCAAGATAAGCTTCCTCCTTTAAATTTGGGTGGCAGGTATTTTGTCTCAGCAACAAGGAAAGTAACTAATACAGCAGCAATGGAAAAGCAATTCAGTATGGAAAGTTATGTTTTCTGTATTAAAACAATTACAGTATCTCATTCTGGAATGTGTAAGGTGCTATTAGACAACTTTAAAAAATGATGTTCTAGCTGGGGATTTAGCTCAGCGGTTCGGTGGCCTGCTTTGCAAGTGCAAGGACCTGAGTTCAATCCCTGGTTTAAAAAAAGAAATGATGTTCTTGTTTCCCATCTGAACTCAGGAATGTCTAGTGAGAGCATAACTCCTTGGATAACCACTTCACTGGCATGGTCCAGATAGCTGAGATTAGAATTTTATTCTCATTTAAAAATTTGGTCATATGAGTGGTGTGTCAAGAGAAAATATGAGTGGTGCAAGAGAAAATAAGAAAAGCCTTTATGGTAATGAGCAGAATTTTTAATAAGACCCAGTAACTGTCATGTAGCAACATGGAAAAGCTATGGGGTGTTATCTCCTGCACGAGAACTCCTGGTATTTGATAAACTCCACTACTGAAGGATATTGTGAATACCTTTAGAGATGAGAAGCAAGTTTCCAGTTGAAAATTGCATGTGGATAGAGTGTTTGAGATGTGTTTGATACTCAGCTTAACTTTCAGTGTTAAGCCATGTTGAGGCGTAGGGCAAGGCAATGATCCATGCTGAAGGAAGAAGGATCTTATGTAACCAAAGGGATGTTTACACACTGAGCAGGTTTGAAGAAGTAAGGAAGTAAGGCCGGATAAGGGGGAAGTGTGAATGGTGAGTGTGAATAAAAACAGATGACCAAATCACAATGGAGAGATTGGTAACATTCACAGGGTAAAGACTGCATTTCAATACATGTTGGTCGAAAATGTGTGAGTTGCTCATATGCAAGTGAAGGTAATAATAGCATATATCATACGAGGACACTGATGGTGAACTTTTTAGAGTTTTCAATGATACAAATAGCCCACTGGGGCACTTGTGCCATAGGTTTATCACCACTTGCCTAGTAGAAGCTGTTCCTAAGAACGTGGGCTGCAGGGCCCTCCTCTATATTCCCAGTCTCCCTTGGCTCAGGTCTGCCATGCCTCCCATCACTTGGGCTATTATAAACTTCAATTTGGCCACCCTCCCTTACAGAGTGTGAGCCCTTTGAGGACTCTTATGCTTCAAGGAAAGTTTCTGGGTGTGCAAAGTCTGCCAAAGCCAGAATCCTGAGCCTGGAGCTCAGCAGGGTTTCAGGTACATTATTATTAAGTGATGACATCCTATGCTATTCACTCACTGTAGAGCAAGTTTCCTGTTACTGTCATTTTGTTTATTGGAAACACTATATTGTACACAAATCAATGTAATAAACATCTTGGCTTAATTTTCTGTTAATCCAGAAGTTTTTTGGTGACCTTTTTCCTCCACACTTTTCTCGGAGCCCTATCATATCAGTGTAAACATGCACATTTTCTCTGTCATAATGTATTTTTGTCAGTGAAGAACAGGGCCGCATAGAGAATTCCAGGAAGCCTTCTTATATGCAAGGAACTGATATAGCAGAGTCGTCCCTGAGTGAAAACTTACAGGAAAAACAGAGCCTTACCAAGGAAGATATTTTTACTGCATGCACAGGAGGCACAGATGCCATTTAGGTTTATCTCTTCGGATTCATGACAACAAGCCCAGCAATCAGGCGATGTGGGAAGTCTGGATGATCTTTCTCACCTCTGCTTCTACTTTTCCTGCTTCTGTGGGTCACTTTTTTGTCAGTCTGTTTCACTGGCTCCTTTCCCTGTGTTTAGATTCTTATGAGGTCAAATGTTGCAATGCTCTCTAGAGGTCTCACTATCCAGTATAGCAATGGAATCATGTTCCTAATGATCATCAGTGATGCCCTAAAATACCAAACGTCAAAATATTCATTGGAACAAAGATTTTCTGAAACTTCATGTCTCCCATTCCACTTGGATATGGAGTCCAAATAGTGGCCTGAGAAGAGGATCCGTCTAGATTTTCACTCCTAGCATGAGTCTCACAACATACCAGAATAGAGACGTATCTTTGGCTTGTAATTATACCAGAAAATAAGAAAGAAGGTTTCCTATGCCTGAGAGGTTGTGGGTAAAACCTGAGAGAATTAGCTTTTGAGGCAACCTCAAACACTGAAGAGGGATAGGAGGATGAGAACTGCTGAAAATTACCAAGAACTCAGGATGGAGGAGGGTCTTAGCATGAACACGGTTCACAGTTGGAGGGGTTGCCTGAGGTAGGAAAAGTATAGAGGGGCAGCCAAATAGTGGGGTCCCCTCCTCACCTTGGGAAGCACTTGGAAGCAGAGGCTCCTCCCTTCAAGTGTAGGCATCTTCCAGTTTTATATCAGTGTTGGCAACCCTTGCTTAAATGTTCCATTCTCCGTTTGTTCTTCTCTGGTGCTCATTTTATCATGAAAAGAAAAAAAAATCTTCTCAAAACTTGAAAATGAAATATTCTTCCCTAAGCACACCCAGTTCTATTTTGCCAGATATGTGAGAGAGGCAAAATTCAATGCTGTCCCTGGATTGAGGGTGCAAAGCATGTATTCAGGATCACAAAATTACCACCCTACGGTGAATAAGAACGCTCATAGGAGCACTGTCTTGAGACAGAGATTCCAGGGGCCAGAGAAGAGAGAAAGCTGGGAGATGAGGGACAGATAGAGGTGACAGGGAAAGCCTGGGCCTTTTTGTGATAGGGGATTATCTGAGAATTGCTTAGAAACTTGTCAGGCATGGTAGAAAGGCTGTGCATATTGGGGAACTAACCCAAATTGTCCTACACATCATGGGTCTCAGCCTTTCCTTTCCTTGCTGGCATCCTTGGCTGACATCACACCCTGTTCCATCACTGTCCTGGCCAAAGCCTCAGAGGGTCCTCATTTCTTTCTTCTTCTGACTTTCTCAAATCTACCTTGGGTTGCAGCTTGATTGCTGAGTGTTCGTCCTCCATTATGTAAGATCATGTCTCCTACTAAGTAACATAGAGATGAGAATGAGCCTTTTCAGGTAACTTTCATATTGCCTACACTCCCAACACAGTTATACAGTCTCCAGAGTCAAATTTCGCAAGTCAAATCATGACCTGCTTCTATGAGATGCTTCAATAGCTCCCCTTTTCTTTCAGTCTGAGGAAACATTAAACACTGACATCTTTGAACAGAAGGACAGGGGTTGATATGCAAAATGATTCATGGCCAATTATTCTTTGATGTGTTTATGCCTCAATTGTGACACAGGTAAGTGTACAAACCTATTCCCTGGTCTGATTTGAAGGTAAAAGAGAAGAGAGGGAGGGAGAGTGGGACAGAGAAGAGGAGAAGGAGAGGAAAAGAAAAAAGAGAGGAGGATGAAGGAGAAGGAGGAGGAAAAGAAGAGAAAAAGCAAGAACAGGAAGACATTCTTCCTTGGTAATTTGAAACATGAATATTGCCATCCTGTTTTTCAAGCTCTGAAAATGAAGTCCATTGACATTTTGAGCCCAGTTGTTCTGAATGTGAGATTCATGGTTGTTCTTTTTTTTTTTCTTAAAAACATTTTATGGCTACTCAAGATTCCTGTTTGTAACTGTCAGCAGTCTTAGATCATTCCACATCCTTTAGAAATTAATTTCCTTGGTATGTTTTAAATATACATAATGATCAGTCATCATAGGAAATTAGTACCTGCACATAATATATCTTGATTCTTCTTTTGGCCCCACTTCCTTCTGCTCCCTTTAACCCCTCATCCCCTCCTTATTTACAAAAGTTTTGTTTCCATTTTTTACTTCTACTACCTTTTATTTTTCTTTTCCCTTCCTTTCTTTCCTCCTACTCCCTCCTTTGTTCCCCTTCCCCTTTAAGCATTTTCTTCCCATTTCTCAATACCTAGTATACATTTTGGTCCTCATTTACCTTTTAGGTTTCTCACACCAAAGAAACAATGTGATACTTAAACATGTGTTTATGATTTATTTCACTTATAAATATGGTCTCAAGGGGCATCCATTTACCTAGAAATGTCTCAAGTTTATCTTTTTTATGGCTGAATAGCACTCCATTGTATATAAAATGCCCACATCTTCTTTATGGATTTATTGGTTGATGGGTATTTTGGCTGTTTCCAAGATTTAACTGTTACAAACTATGCCACTATAGACATGGGTGTGCATATATCGTTATGGTATGATGCTTTTAATTCTTTTCAAATAATATCAATAAGGGAAATAGCTGGAGGAAATGGAACTTATAGTTCTACTTTTCTGAGGAATCTCTATGGATTTCCACAGTGGTTACACCAGTCTATGCTCCCAGCAACAGTGGAGAAGGGTTCCTTTTTTCCCAACAGCCCCATCAGCATCTGTTACCGTGAATTTCTGGAGTGAGATGGGATCATGGTGTATTTTAATTAGATCTCTCAAATAACCAGTGATGTGGTTTATAGATGTATTTGCCATTTGTATATCTTCATTTGAGAAATGTGCATTCATCTCAGATGCCCATTTTTGGATTGGGTCTTTACATTTGGGGAGTTTGAATTTTTCAGTTCTTTATATATTCTAGATGTCAGTCTTTCACCTGAGAAACAGCTGGCAAATTTTTTTTCCACTCTATGTACCGTCTCTTCACTCTGTTAAGGTGGTTTATTTTGCCATGCAAAAGCTTTTTAATAAAATGAGACCTCAGTTTTTGGGTCATTGTAATATTTCCCATCTGATTGGAATTTGTTCATAAGTCTTTGCCTACACCTATGTCTTCAAGAATTCCACCTATTCTCTCTTCAAGCAGATTTAGTGCTACTATATGAATATTTAGATTTTTGATCCATTGTGATTTTAGTTTAGTGCATGGTGAGAGACATGGGTCTAATTTTAGTGTTTGGCATATGGAAGGCCAGTTTTTCCAACATCATTTATTAAAGAGAGTATTTTTCTTTCAGTAAAGGTGTTTGGCCCTTTTGTTGGAGATAAGGTGGCAAAGTCTGTTTGGTGTTGTTTCTGCATCTTCTAGTCTATTCCATTGATTCTCAGGTCTGTGGTTTTTTTGTTTTGTTTTTTCGCCAGTACCTTGCTGTACTTACCACAGTAGCTCTGTAGAATAATTCCACATCAGGGATTGGGATGCCCCCTGCCTTGCCTTTATTGCCCAGAACTGCTTTTGTTATTCTTGGTCTCTTCTCATTCCAAATGAACATTAGGAATATTTTATCTCATTTTTTGAGGTATGCTATTGGTATTTTGATTGGGAATCCATTAAATATGTATAACAATTATGTGAGTATGATAATTTTCAGTATGTTGATTCTTTCTACCAAAGAGCAAGGGATAACTTTCCATTTTCTGATATCCTCTTCAATCTCCTTTTTAAAAAGTACTGTAGTTTTCAATACAAAGACCTTTTACTTTCTTTTTCAATTGATTCCTAAGTATTTCATCTTTTTATGATATTGTGAAAGGGATGGTTTCTACAATTTCTCTCTCAGTAAGTTTGTTATTTCTGTACAGGAATGGTATTCATTTTTGTGTGTTGACTTTGTATCCAGCTACATGACTAAATTTGATAATTAAATCTAGATGCCTTTTATGGCAGTTTTTGAGGTCTAATATATATAGAGTATCATGTCATCTACAAATAATGATAGTTCAAATTCTTCCTTTTCTATCTGTATTCCTTTTATTTATTTTTCTTGTTTAATGGCTGACTAATGTCTCCAGAACTATATTTAAAAGGAGTCGCGATAGTGGACATCCTTGTGTTGTTCCTGATTTTAATGTGAAGGATTTCAGTTTTTGGCCATTTAGTATGATGTTGGCTGTTGGTTTTTCATAGATGGCTGTTATCAGATTGAGATAAAACTTTCTATTCTAATTTTTTGTAGCGTTTTTGTCATGAATTGATTTTAGACATTGTCAAATGCTTTTTAATTGAAATGATCATGTGTTTTTCCCTTGGTTCTGTTAATATGGTATATTACATGTATTGATTTGCCTGTGAGGAACCACCCTGAATCCCTGGGATAAATCTTACTTGGTTTATTTGTATAATCTTCTTGATGATTTGCTACATTCTGTTTGACACTATCTTATTGAGGATTTTGCATCTACATTCATTAGGGAGATTGTCCTGTAGTTCTCTTTTTTTGTGTATAACTTTCTCTGGTTTTGGTATCAAGATATTATTTTCCTCTAGATATGACTTTGAGAGTATTGCTTACCTTTCAATTTAAGAGTTTGAGGAATAGGAGCATTAGATTCCTAAATTTCTTGTAGAATTCAGCAGTGAATCCACCTGGAACTGGATTTTTGTTATCAGGTTTTTAAATTACCTCTTCAATTTCATTGACTGATACTGGGTTATTTTTTATATCTTATTGATTCATCTTTGGTGATTCATATGCATCTAGGAATCTTGCTCTGTTTTTCTGTATTTTCTATCCTGTGAGAATAAAGGTTCTCCAAATAGGTACTGATGATCTTCTGGATTTCTGCAGGATCCCCTGAGGTTTTACCCTTTTCATTTATTACATGGATTTGACTTTTTTATTTCCTTCTTTTGATAAGGTTAGTTAAGGGTTTATTAATATCATTTAGTCTTTCAAAGAACCAGGTCTTCATTTCATTGATTCAACTGCATTAATTTCTGCTGTAATCTTTATAATTTCCTCCCTCCTACAAGCTTTAGGCTTGACTTGTTTTTTCCAGAAGTCTGAGGTTCAACATTAGGTTGTTTACTTGAACCCGTTCTGCTTTCCTTACATGAGCATTCACCACTAAAAATATCCTTCATCAGACTGCTTTAATTGTGTCCCATAGCTTGCAGAATGGTGTATTTGAATTATTTAATGGTAGAAACTAATTCTTTAATTTCATATGAGCTATTGTTTGTTCAGTAGGGTGCTATTTAATTTCTATGTGTTTATGATTTTTTTGTAGTTTCTTTTGCCATTGATTTCCAATTTCATTGCACTATGGCCAGGTAAAATGAATTGGATAATTTCAATTCCTTTGCATTTACTTCAGCATGTGCTATGATCTAGGCTATGCCTTATTTTGGAGAATGTCCTGTGTGCAGCTGAGAAAAAGTATATTCTGACATTGTGGGGTGGAATACTCTGTAAACATCCACTAAGTCCATATGTTCACAGGTCTTTTTCAGTTCTGATATTTCTTTGTTAATTTTCTTGTCTAGTTTATCTATTTGTGATAGAGGGGTTTTGACAACCCCCATTACAATTGTGTTAATGCTTATGTGATATTTCATGTCTGTTAATGTTTGTTTTATAAAGTAGGGTGATTTGGAATTTGGTACATACATATTTATGATTGCTGTTGCTTCTTCTTGGAATTTTCCCTTGAAAGTGTGTAGTGACATTCTTTGTATCTTTTGAGCAGTCTTAGCTTGAAGCCAAATTCTCTGCAAACATAATAGCTGTCCTTAATTTTTTTCCAGGTTCTTGTCACATGAAGCTTTGTTTTCCACCCTTTGACTTTCAGTCTATGAATTTCTTGTTGAGTTAACTGTTACCAGTATGCAGAAAATTGTTTGATTTTTTTTTGTTGTTGTTTTTTGAGACAGTGTCTCATTATGTTGTTGAGACTGACCTGGAACTCACTATGTAGCCCTGGCTGGTCTCGAACTCATAGCAATCCTCCTGCCTCAGCCTCCTGAATGCTGGAATTACAGGCCTGTGCCACAACACCTGGCCTAATCTTGTTTCTTGATTCATTCTGCCAGTCTATTTCTTTTGATTGATGAATCGAGACCATTTATATTGATGGTTATTGGCTTATCCTTGTCATATTATTTTCTTGTGCTGGTACCCTGTCTTTCCTCTCTGTTTACTTGCTTAATTTGCCTGGTGACTTCTTTTTATTGGTGTTCTTGGAATTGTGGTCTTTGTTATATCTTTCTAAATTATCTTTAAGAACATTTTATAGAGTGGGTTTCATGGTCATGAATTTCTTCCATTGTTCTTTGTCCTGGAAGTATGCTATTTCTCCATCGATTCAAAGTTAGTTTTGCAGGGTACATCAATTTGTGTCAAAGGTTGTTTTCTTTTAGGACTTGAAATACTTCACTCCAAGCTCTCTTTGACTTAAGGGTTTGTATTAAGAAGTCTGCTATGATTCTGATGGGCTTTCCTTTGTATGTGATTTGCTTCTTTGCTCTAAATGCTTTTATAATTTTGTTCTTCTGATGGGTTTCTGGAATCTTGACTATTATATTCCTAGGTACAGATTTTTTTTAATCACAGCTAGTTAAAGTCCTATATATCTCACTCATCTGTACATCAAGTTCTATTTCCCTGCTTGGGAAGTTTTCTGCCATTAGTTCTGTGGACAGGCTTTTTATGTGCTTTGCATTGATTCCTGCTTTTTCATTGACTCTGGTTAGGCTTTTGCTGTTCTTCTTTCCATAATCTTGCAGCTGTTAGATTTTTCATGGTTCCTTGCTATTTCTGGATGTTTCTTTTTGTGATCACTCACCTCAATCCTGTCTTCTAGGCCTAATATTCTGTCTTCACTTTCATTCATTCAGCTTTGCAAAATTTCAAGGAAGTTTTTAACTTCCTGGATCTTTGTTTGAATCTTTATTCTGTATTTCATTTCCTTCCTATTTTGGGCATTAATGGTTTACACTATTTTCCTAAGCTCCTCTATTTTTTTAACCTATGTTTCTCTAAATTTGTTGAGCAGGTCTTTCGTTATGATAGTTTCTTTTTTTCCTGAGAGATTGTTTCTTTTCTGATTTTCTCTATATTCATACACCTGTTTATTTCTCCTCCTATCATTCAGAAAATT